TGCATGTCACTGATTCTCCAGCACACAGCAGCTGTGATTGTGTGGCTCCTTCTCAATGTTGCACTGCCTTGATTTTGTTTGTGAAGAGTGTTTCTGTGTTGTGGGGAGGAGATGGGAATGAACTAGTATTCAGAGCTAAATATTTTAACTTCATGAAAAATAATTACAGGATAACCTGCAGATAGCTGTTTAGTTCACTTTATTACGCCAGTGTGTATGTGCAAGGAAGCAAGCACTAGCTCCAGAGCTCTTTGATATGAGAACGTCTGCCTTCAGAAGTTTGGCTTTGTCATGGTTGATAAAGGAGATACTCAAGTGACAGAAATTTCCATAAGCCTGGAGGAACAAGTAAAAAGGATGCACAGCAGCTACCAGCCCAGACATTTAAACAGAACTAAATGGCTCCCAACATCAAGATGAGGCTTTGTCTTCTGCCTCCACTTCTAAAGAGACAATAAAGAAGTATTTTTAAAATTCTGTTAGTATGCTGTGAAAAACCTACTTAGCAACATGACACTTGGAGATTTAGGAGTAATTCTGACCTACTTCTTCAAAATACCAGTCTGATCCTAGGTTAATGGTTGGACTAAATGACCTTTTCCAGCCTAAATGATTCAATGATTCTATGCATTTATGAGATCAAATCTTAACTACAAGCTGAAGATCTTTCCCTGTTTTAACTTGGTTTGAGAAAGTACTGTTGGTGTTACTGAGGGAAAATGGGATTTTTGAAGAATTGCTGTGTTTTGATTTAAATAGAATACAAGTAGAGAAATAGAATAGCATTCAGCTAAAGAGAAATTGGATCCTAAAAAGCAGAAACCCTCAGTTTTATAAAGCTTTTTGTACTGAGACTCTCTTTTTGGTGTACTGTTTGAAGGCCATCAAACTACACAGCCTTTCTTCAAGATATGAATGAATGTTGCTTCCTCAGTAAATGAATGTGCTACTGAAGCCAGCACGATAGACCAAAGGCTTAGGGAAGAAATCATCCTTTGTGCCAGTCTCTGAGTGGTGGAGCATATGAAAAGCAACACAGAAAGTGTTGCAGATAAAGAGACATGTTGCATATTTCAACAGTATTATGATTTTTGGGGAAGATACTTATGAGTGCCAGAGATGACAGCACTGAGTTAGTGTCTTTTTACTTTGTCTAAAGGAAAAAGCCATTGAAATCTTCTTTTCAGTGTTTGCTTGCTGCTTCTTCTTAAAAATGAATGGGTATTTTATTATTCTTATTCAGGTATTAAAGGCTCAGGAATTAAGACTCTTGTATTATTAGATCATCGTTTGCAGGACAAAAAAAAATTAAATACAGTTAATGTTACCAGCATTTTTTGTAAAATTCAGGTATCTTACATTGGTTATTAAGTTTATGAAAAAATTGTATTTTTCTGTATTGCTGATGACATTGTCACCAATTTAAACAAGTAATTTAAGATTTGTTTCTACTTTTCTGTTTGGAGAAAGATGAGTTGTTCTCTTCCATTCAGCCAAGGCAAAAATGAGCATTTTATTGATCTTGTGATTTGCTTTCTCTTACTTTTCATTCCATTACTGTTTTCCATGACAATGGTGTGTCAGAGCATACAGTGGTGAGAGAAGGGGAGGACACAAAATCTTCTGTGCCACTGCTTTTCATTCATGTCTGGAATGGGCATATTACTAGGTGTGGCAGGAGAGTTTAATGTGGGCATGAACAGTTAAATTTTGTAAAACAGATCACCTTTGCTTCAAGTCTGAGCATTTAATGGGCGCTTGAATTAGTTCTGCTTAAACATCTAACGTGCTACTCTTTGCACTGATGAAATAAGAATAAAAGATTTGTATTTCTGTGTCATCCATCAACTGTGAAATGTTTAACTAAGTCCTGACTGGAAGAGAAGCACAACAGCTTGATTTCAGAATGAGTTTTCTTACATAATTAGAAATACCAAATTTGTGCCAAAATCAGAGACAAGCAGTATGTGTGTACTCAGTATCATTTATGTAGTCAGTGTTTTGAAAGACAGTGATATTGATGGTACTATTTGGACTCCCACAAAGCAGTTTTCTGCAGTTTTTGCATTCAGTTTTTTTCTAAAAGACAATTTTTTCTCAAAAGTGCTTTCAAATTACAGAGATTATACAGATTCAACCTTTACTTACAGACTTGGAGGTGTTTAGTTTCACAGCCTTGATTTTTTTTGTCCATAAACTGAACTCCAATTACCCTTTGTGTTCCTTGATGACTGCAATAATACAATAGCAAGTGGATTTCTGGACATATTTTAAAATTGACAGAAGACATAGAAAGATATTCTCAATGACTTTTCAGGAATAAGACCATAAAATTTGAATTACCTTCTTGTTTATAAGTTTATGAATTGTAAAATACAGAAGCTGAGGACAGGCTGTATGTGTGTGTGTGCTGTAGACTCTTTAGGAAAACTGCCACTTGTAGATGTGGTTGAATGACTTTGCAAAGAATTGACTATAAAAAAATACGGTTGTTTTATAAATAGCAAAATAGCAATGAGAGAATCAAAACATACACCAGAGAGGGCTACAGCTATCAAACACAGCGTTGAATTTACCTGGTGTTTTTCAGGTTTATTGGTTGGATTTTTAATGAAAATGTCAGTACAGACTGGTTAGACCTGGGGACACACCTGAATATAGGGAACTGAGCTAAAAAATATGCCTTTTGAAAGACCTTATCAAACTTCCCACCAGTCTGAAAAAATGTAATGATTAGTGTGGTTCCCATAGCTAATAGCCCTAGGGAGCAGGAAATATTTTATTGTGAGAATCCTTTCCTGTGTTTAGCTTTATATAAATCTAAGCAGGATCCAAGATGCTTCTCTTCAGAGCAGGTGCTGTCCCCCAATGAATGTAATACAACTTTCACTCACAGGCATAGACACATACAGGGACACACCTGCATTTCATGTAAAGCTGGCGACTGATTTGCAAACATCTAATTTACTAATGAAATGGAGCTATAGAAATGGCAGTAGGCAAGAGGACAACCCTGAATGAAACTTAATTACAGAAGGATGTAGGAAACAATATCCAGCTAAATGAAGAACTGTAAACAAGGGTGCAAGATTAATATGTGGATTTAAATTGCCGTCACTATTCAAATTTCTTATTCTATGTCAACAGCAGAGCAGGTAACAGCAGGAACTGAGGATCAATAGTGTAGGCAGCATCTGCATCGTGGTCTTGGATGTCACCTCTGTTGAGTGTGTTTGTTTCCCTTGGTTGTGTTTCACAGTGGAGTGAGTAATGTGAGAGCACAGGTAGCAGTAGTAGAGTCTTACTTGCTACTTCTCCAGCAGTCTCCCATCAAAACACAGGGTTGAGCACAATAAAGTTTGTTCTTTACTCTGTGTGTCAGGCTGTTTGTCAGCGAGGTATGTTAGCTGAATATGACTACCCAGCCTCCTGTGCTTTCCAGTGTCTCTTTGGTTAAATCATGCCATGACTGACACCACGACACATTAGTGGGAGGATTGTTTATGAGAAAAAAGGAAACGAGTTTGACACTTGAGTTTACCAAGTTGTGGGAGCACAGATGCTCATCACTGCCAAACACGCAGAGCCGAGGTCAGGGAAATCTGTCAGGGAAAGCAAAGCAGCCTTGAAGCAATATTTTTTTTTAACTGTCTGGCAGGGAACACACATGAAATAGTGTTATAGCTGAGCAGGGTGCTGCCCTCCTTCCTCTACTCCCTTAGGATTGCCTATTTCCCTTTCCTCATTCCAAGCTCAAATGAGACATTACAGAGCATACTCCTCTCCTTCATGTCTTCCCCCAGGGAGCTCAGCTCCTCTTTTCTGGGGGCTGGTGACAGCAACAGTAGCAGTGGGCAAGGCTCAGACTAGATGTCCCCTTTGGATGCCCTTTTGCTCTCTCTGGCATTGTTTTTGCTTGCTTCTCTACCAGAGCAGCACTTCTTTACATTTCATTCTTCTGCATGGGAAGCTGTAGCTGTAGAGCAAGCCTGGTCAGCATGAGAGTATTGACACAGGAGGGACCTGGGGAAGCTCTTAAAGGTAATTAAAAAAATACAGATATTCCTGTGTTGTGGGCATAGGATATCCTGTGACAAAATTTGGAAAAGGAGGATTGTTTGGACTCCGCTGGGCTGCGTGATTAGATAATAAATTCTACAAGAAGAGTAAAAGAGATGGAGGTATTTGGAGGGAAAAAGTCTTTCAGATGTAGCAGTTTCTGCAGTAAAGAGAAGATTATAGGAAGACAGAGAACATGCACAAAAGAACAAACTATTTCAGACCTGTGGGGAAAGAGAATGGGGTTGTAATAGGAGAATGTAGAAGATACTGGAGATGAAAAATAAGAAAAACAGATTAAAACAAAAAGCCTAACCAGAAAGTATGTATCTTAACAAACCAAAAGGAGACAGGAAGGGGAAAATTAGACTCTCCTGTTCCCATCAAGCAGAAGATAAAGTAAGCAGTCGGAAAGATGGAAAAAATATAAATATATTTGCATAGTAGATGGAAAGAATAGTTTATATGATGAAATGTATATTCATCTTGATGATGAAACATGATCCTTTATCTTCTTTTTCTCTTTGGCTGCTAAGTCCTGAAAGAACTGTGTTCCCCACTGTGTCTGAATGATAACCCTGGGTCTTTCTGTGAAGGAGGATGCTCAAAGGAAGCAGTACTGTGTTTTGGTTGATTTAAACTATCATTTATCCTTTGTGAAATGTGAAATGCAAAATTAAATTGTAGGGACATGCCATCTGGTGTTGTTTAACATGTGAATAAAAGCTACTATATTGGCACAATATTTATGCTCATAAGAGCAGGAATAATGGAAATGCTATGTTGGCTATACCCAGCAGGTTCCCTCATTGACTGAAGCATCATGTTTGTTCCATGTCCCAGAAATGCCCAGAATGAACATGATTCCTGGAGGAGGATGAGCATTTCCTCCTTAGTGAGGAGGCTGAGTGTTTTATGTCTGTTATTCTCATTCCTTTCAGGGATCTCTTGCTGTCTGTGGCACTTGGCCAGGTACTCTCCCTCCTTATCTGTGGCATTGGTCTCACAAGCAAGTATCTGTCAGAAGACTTCCATGCCAACACACCCGTTTTTCAGAGCTTCCTCAATTATATCCTTCTGTTCTTGGTCTACACGACAACACTAGCCGTCAGACAAGGTGAGTGTCTCTCTGAAACTGTTTATAGAAAGCAGTGGGGATAAAGGCTTTTGCAGAACAACAACTAGCAATATGATTTAGAAACATATCCCACTAACATTTGTTCCATATTTGCATTACCTAGAAATACGTATTGGATGAACTGAAAGAAACACCAACAAATCTTCATTAGCAAGGAACAAATCATTTGATCTCAAGGACTGGGGTGTTACCTAAAAGTTAAAATAAACATCAGTACTTTTGAATTCTGATTGTTCTTGCATTGCTGGGAAATACTAGTATGCTTTACATCTTATGTAGACTAAGGAGAGCTCAGATGCAAGCAAAGAGGAGCTTGCTAGTTCTAGATGCTGATCATGGCAATTGAGTAGTTTACTTACTAGACAGAAAGAAATAGCAGCCAACTTTTAGCTGTTGGGAAGTAGGTGATGAAGGGAGAGATTTCAGGGTGCTCTCTCTCTGGGGTAGGTTTGGGCAGAGCAGCTCCATGGCCCATCACTGCTTAGCCATGGGGCCTGTTTAACAGGTCTGACCTCCAAAATGAGAAATTCATTACAGTATGCTTTGGTACTGTTTATCTAATGATGCTCTCTTTGACAGTCTATATATATTATGGGGTGTTGTGCCTTTCCTGCACATCCCTTCCCTTCTTTGAGATTTTGTTTCTAGATGAGGTGTGGGTAGTGAAAGCATTTAAGTACATTTCTCAGCCACTCGTCTTTTTTGTAATAATTTTCTTTATTCACCTTCACAGAACACGTAGATTAGAAGCTAAATAAAAGAGAAAAAATATAATGTGTTCTCCTGACATAAAGAGGGTAGGGCTCTGTGGAGGATAACAACTACAAAATGTATTAGGCTGTGGTACATTTATCAGCATACTGAAAAGCTCATGTTTTCTTACAGAAGCAATGATTTTTGGATCATTCTTTGATCTTTTAATGTTTTGGGAACAACCCTGAAGCTTAAGTTCTTCACTCATAGTACAATCTTGTAATACAATGCTAAAAGAGTTCCAAAGCAGCAAGGACTTAATTTCTATGCAAAAAATGAACAGGCAAAAAAATACTTCTGTACTCCAGCACAAAGCACTTAAGCATATTACAGCATAAGTTTTATAAACATTGGTCCCCACTGGCATTTTGCAGAGGTGATAAAAGCCAATGTGCAAAGGAAATGTTGACTCTTATATAAGGAGAGATTGCTCAGGCACTGTTTCACTGTTTCACTGTCTTGGTATTTCAGTTTGTGTAGGGGGAAATATCACCACATACTTTGCTCTGCCAAAGATTTAAAATGTGTTATTAGTAGTAGCTTTCTGGAGAACTGTGTTTAAAAATAATTATTCTGAGTATAGGACTGCCTAGATGTTCACAAGTTCTGTCCCAGAAATGTCCTTCTCTGGACTGATTTAGATACTGTGGAAGGCAAATCCCTATATGGACTCTTAAATAGATTTTACTTTTTTGAAAATGCTTGTGAGAGGGTATACCCCTATAGATACTGCATTCTGCTGTGCATTACAGAGGCTAATTTGGAATAATGTTTGATGCCTGGTGTATATTGCCATCTAAAAAATTCTATCAAGCACTCTGCTTTACTCATATATAAATATGTATTTAAAAGGTACTTTATAAGTAATTTTCTGACTCTGTTTAAAAATATAGTGGTGGACTAAAGGGAGTTTGTCAGAAATACCTGTTGTGCCAATATGATAGATTTGGGAGCTAAATGATAAAGTGTTCGGAATATGTGGAAAATGTTTTCTGGACAAGTGAAGAGAGCTGGGGAAGGTGTTTGAAAAAGCCTGTGGTTGATTACAGACCATACAAACAACTAGAGCACATGTAAAGGGTACCAATGGAATTGTCTGGAAAAAGAGCTGTCAAAAAAACCCTAAAAATATGGTTTCATCAAAAAAAAAAAAAATCCAAAATAAAATTTGCTACAGAAGCTATGAAAGCAGTGATCCAGGCATTCAGCATAACTTTCCTGCTGGACAGTACAGCACTACACAGCCTATTTATTTACTTGGCATTTAATGTTGCCAGCTGACTGAGCCTGACATTGTCTTTTTGCTTGTGTATTTATTCAAATCCATTATCTTTGTTTGTTCCATTAAGGCAGTTTCTCTAGCGGCTCTAATCATTCGGCTTCATTAAAAGATGGAAATCACATAATAATATTAATGATGGTTCTGTTCTGAGTGCTGACATCATCAAAAAACTTTTTTTTCAAGTATGGTTCTTTATGAAAGACTGAAAAATTTTTAAATCATTCTCTTTCTCCTTCAGAAATCAAACTATCATAATTGATTTGTAGTAAAAATAATTACATCCCTTTGTCTTTTTCTTTCCTTGCTTTATTAATCCTTGGGATTTTTGCAGAAATGTACTGTTTAAGGAGATGTCACCTGAGGTAGCCAAAAAACCCCTGAATTTACTCTAGGACTGAAAGCTACAATTTCCTCAAGACATAAAAAGTTCCTCTTTCTTTAGAGGCTTCTTCCAAATTTTGATTTACTCTGGGTGCCCTTTGACTTAGCTGTCCCTCACTGTTCTTATATACTCCCTGAGTGAAAATGAAAAGGTAGAATTTGCACTGGTGTCTGAAAATCATCATTAACAGATGATTAAAGCTCCTGAGCTTTTCTGACTGAAGCCTTCTGCAGTGAGTGCTCAGCTTCCAGCAGCTAAAGTTAGCCCAGGATCAGCAGCGTCCACTACATTTTTATATTGAGTTGAGATTGTTTTCCAAAATAATTTTACCACAGTGCTCGCTCTAATGGATACATAGATTAGGATTGTCACCTTGCAATGAATCAGCATATCATCACATAGTGGAGAGGCACAGTCCTGTAGGTTTCAGAATCTCTGAATTTTTAAAGCTTCATTTCCATGTTAAAAAAAAAAAAAAAAAAAAAAAACCAACAAAAACAAACAAAACCCCAACAAAACAAAACCCAAAAAACAAAACTAAATCCCTAAAAAAGAAAGTTTCAAGGAGTAAAAGTAGACTAAATAGTTTTAAGCAGTGAAGTCCATGTAAGTAAGGCTTTTCATCATCATTGCAACTTTGTTCTCATGACCAGAAATAAAAAGTGATAAAAGCATTGAAGGAGATCAGTTCTTGTGAGATTTTCATATGGGCCTTAAAACATGGATACCACTCAGGCACAGATCATGAAAAAGTGGAAGAATTTGTCTGAACTTGGATTTTTGTGATGGAAAATAAATCTGCCAAACATTTAACAGGTAACGAGGTCATCCTCAGTTCCTTCTCTTGAGGTAGCTTCTTTTCACGCCTGTTGTTTTCACAGCCAAAACTTGTGTTTGTCCATGGTAACACCTCTGAGAAGGTTTTAACACATATTATCTCACCTCAGTCTCCTCATTAGCAGAGGGCTGTGCTTAACAAAAACATGTAGGGATACTTGCCTGTATCCTCTGGGTCATTATTAGTGGAGGAACAGAAAAACCTTGGCTATCAGTGAGAAAAGCCTCAAATGAGGTGAAATGGAGCTATGAGAGATAGAGCTGGTGGAGATTAGTTTTAACACCTTAAAAAGCAATAAGTGGGAAATTGTCCATAGTGGACCAGAAGGTGTTAATTGCTTACAGCCAACATGGGAGCAAGCATCAGCAGCTTGCCACCAAAAATAAATTACTTCTAAAAGCCACGTCACATATGCTACAAATGAAAACAACACATCTACTAGACATCATTAAAAACAGAAAAAAAACCCCGAAACTGCTATTTTTTTGTTATTCTGGAAAACAAGAAATGAGGGAGCAATGGAAGTGTCTTCTGAACAGACGGGAACCATAAAGCCTTGAGGGCCAGATTCTGTGTCAGTAGGGCTCCGCATTGCAAGCTGTTCCTTGCATTTTAGTGCAACAAGTTACTGAGTATTTTCAGCCCACCAATACTAAGGGATGGCAAAAATTTGCTTGTTCAGAAACATTTTTTATGAATTTCTGTATGTCTGGATGAATTCTGCTTCTAGGCCAAGTGATGAGGTTATATCATCTGTCAATAGAAATAGAGTTTTCCCTACAGTAACTGTAATGTCTTAGATTTGACATATAATTAAAGGTGATCTGTGCCCCTGAGTAAGCCAGAGAGTTCTCTGAGAGTGGTAAGATTGCAGACCTCTTAGTGGCATATAATTTTTTTAAGCATTTCTATCTCAGGATGGTTTATGCCATTAGTATCTCAGCCATATCATCAATTTCCTGATGTGTCTGCTATCCAAGTATGTATTTCCATTTAGATAATGGCACCCCTCTGCTGCAGTTCGTTTTGGGGGTGGGGGGCACCCTGGGATGTCCCTGGAGGGCCCCCTGGGCTGTGAGTTGGCTGGCAGCAGCGGGCAGGCAAGGAGGTTTCTGAGGGTGCTGATTAAATTAGAGTTTATTGGGGGTCCCACCCCCGGGAACAGCATGGTTACTGAGGGAGAAGGGGGAGGGGGAAGGAGGGGGAGAGGGAGAGCCTAGGGGATGGAAGGGGCAAGAGGGGAGGAGAAGGGCTAAGAGGGAAGAAAGGATAAGAGAGGGGAAAGGCTAAGAAGGCGACTGATCTCGCTCGCATGGTTGAAGAGGGGATTGAAAATGGGCACGGAATCTGACTGGGGCCAATGGGATTACAGATACATGATGGTTCAGGGCAGGACCACAGGCTTGGAATATACCATACATTTTGGAGGGGTGAGACAGAGCATAACATTTAAATAAAATGCAATACTACACCCCTCCCAGCATCACTCCTACTTCACCAAAGTTGACCAAAACTGGCTAATTGAAGGAAGATAGAGCACCATAAAGGAGTTGCTTTTTTTCACTGCAGTGCTTGTCAGCTATTTATTTAATGATAGAAAGGGTAAAAGTCTCTTTTTGCTTAATTCCATTCCACTAGTAAAGGTATATTAATACAAAGCTAGTATTATGCACTTAACTTAGGTAGACATAACAGAATTTCTTTTAAACCAACACCTTTTTTTG